TTATTATTATTATTACTATTATTGTTAATATTAATATTATTATAATATAGCTTGCTTGTTGAATCGAAGTTTAAAATCGTTTAGGTAAAATACAACAATGTTAATGTATATAAGTAAGTAAATAAATAGGTAAATATTACCCAAATGAATAAATAATTTATAAATCTGATTTTCTTTCCTTTTAATTTCGATAAAGCATTATTGAAAATAATAAAAAGTGAAGCAATAGGAGGAATTGGATGATAGTGAGATGAAACGATGAATGGTGGAAGATTGACGATAATGATTATTATGTGGAACATTTGTTGAAAACTAGCTAGCAATAGAATGGTTGAAATATAGAAGCAGCAAGAAGCCTAAACCTAAACTAAAGACAGCGATAAGACAGCGAATTTAAATTTTCCATATTTTAATCAACTTTTTTTTCAAATTTTACTAATTTTTTTCAATTAATTAAAATAAATAAATAAAATTAGATAATTTTGAGTATTTTTGGGTGATATTTTATATTTAAAAAGTTGAAAAGTAGCCGAGTGATTACTAATTTAGATTATTATGATAAGAGTCAGTGATTTGCTTCTATTTCCTAGACTCTCATTCAAAAATCCATCTCTACTCGACTCGTTGGCAAAATTTCTCAACGAACAGCCAACTATCAACCAGCGAAGTGAATCTAATCAGAGATGATGAACGCTAACCACTCACCTACTCCTACTTTCATATCAGCTAAGTGATCTAAAATCTTTTGAAGTTACGGTAGCCTCCAGCCTATCAATCATTGCATGAATAAGTCAAATGATAAAATGGTGGAGTGTAGCAAATTGGTCGAAGAAAAAGAAGATAATGATGGCAACGATAAAGAATTAGCAAATTGTGTGAAGAATTTTTATGAAATGGAGATGAAATTTTTGTGTAAAATAAAATGCAAATTATAAAAATTAATGAAAAGATTTAAAGTGAAAAAAAAATTTTCGATTTAAATTTTTCATTATTGCAATAGCAAATAATTCCGTATAAAATTAAATATTTAATTTGTAAAATTAATTAATGAATTTTAGAGAAAAAAAAGTAAAAAATTTAAAAATTAGTGGCACTTTCAACGTTTTTAGTTAGATGCGCTCCGCTACGATTGTTACTACGGTTAGAAATTCTTGACAATGAGTCGCATGACGATGGAATCACAAGGTGGGTTCTCAGCACCACCTGGATTTTCTCCTTACTCCCGATAGAGCTCCCAATATTTGAGCCACTATTCACTCGATAGACAGCCTCAGCATTTACCAGACATGGCCTTGTGTTAAACATCAATAACATTAATGCAATATTAATTCAAAAAAAAAAAAACTAATATATTTAAAAGCACATTGGATTGATGACGAATTAACAATATAAATAAAAATAATATAAAAATTTAATACGAATTTTGAATTAAAAAATTTGTTAGAATTTGTTGAAATTAAAAAAGAAAAACACATTTAAAAAGATGTTTTAATGATTTGATAACAATTGGACAAAAAAAAAGATGGACAAGTTGATAGATTTAAAATATAAAACGATGTTTATCATTATTACGATAATTAGAAGTGGAAAATTTTAAGGAATTGAATGGATGAGCGATTGTGGATAGAAAAATGTACTATTTGAATAGTTCGATGTATGAGGTAAACGAAGAGTGATAGAAAATTTTTAAAGACTTTAAAGAGACGATTCAAAAACAGGTATTAAATAATTGTACAGAAAGCCGAATTGTATTCTTTATAATGCCTCTCTATAGGCTTTGAATTTCAGCAAAAATTACTTCTTCCTTTAGGCTAATCAAGCTTATTATGTGGCACAAAATATCTGGCAAAAAATATGACTGAAGAAAAATTTGATTGACAATTTGACTGCGACAATTTGAAGTGCCAGCACTAACAATTGAAAAATTTCAACTTTTTTTATAAAAATTTATTAGATGATTTTAAAAGAGGTTTCTAAAAATACTAACAAATACTAACTAAAAAATCATTGAAAGTATCATAAAAATATAGCAAAGAAGGATTAAAACGGATAATGGATTAAAGGATTTTCGAGAAGAAGAGAGTTGTCCAGGATACCGATGCTGCCGACTGGCTGTTGAATCTTTTCCATTATTTCTGTCTAATAAAAAAATAATTTCTGGCTAATATGATGAGTACCATTCGTCACTTCAGAATGGATACGGTTGGATATCGCTAATGATCACTCAGATTTCATTTTTAATATTCAACTGAACTGACTAATGCCGTCACGTTCAGCCCACAATATTTATTTTTATACTTTATATTTTTCAGAATTTTAAGCCATCCATACGCTCATCTCCAAAATTTCAAATCTCTATTTTGACCGGTAAAATATAATATAAATATAATAATAAAACTTGCTATGATCAATTAGGAGAAATATTTTGCGATTCTCTAAACTCGAAAATTTTAAATTTCCTCATTAATTTAAGCCAATCAATATTATTTTATGCTATTAAAAAAATATTTTAATTAGCCATAAATCTGGTAAATACAAAAAAAGTCCAATTTACTTACCCAATACAATGGCAAATAAAAATAAGAAATTTTCGATAAAGTAAGTCGATAAGTAAATAATAAAAGGCAAATATAAGCGATTGTGTCGAGTGAATTGCATATTTGTATAATTTGGTTCAAATCTAACAATAAATTCTATCGAACGCATTTGGAGGAAATGTTCTAAATTTTAAATAAATGTTCTTAATTTTAAAACTATTTATGAACAGTGGACTAAGCTGATGAAGTGTAATGTTACTTCGACTATATCCATCGATCCATCATATATTCATAATCTGTTCCTTGACAGAAGCTAATCTATTATAAAAAGTGAAATCCACCTGAAATATCTCGAATCCTCTCTAATCCCAAATGGCCAAGCGAAAGAGGAAATTTACACTCCGGATAATGGCAGCTAGGAATGTTTTCTTCCTGTTAGATAGAACCTTAATGGAATCGTCGCAGAATTGCTATGAAAATGAAAGTGCGCGTAGCAGTTCGCTCGATCTTACTATCTTGCTATATAGCTATGAGATATGGCCATTGAGAGTGGAGAGTGATGAAGAAGCTATCTTTGACCACATACGGTAAGGTAGGTTTTAGCGGTCCGCCGAGCGAAAATCGTGCAAAATTGCATCCACTTTCGCTAAAATACCACTTGCATTAATAGTACCATCACAGAACGTCATCTTCGCTGGTTAGGGCACGTTCTTCGTGCCCACCACAAGAGTTGACATGTATTTCGTTACTTCCTAAATTCTGTGGTAGATGGCGTTAAAAGCGAGGTGATCCAATCAAGATCTTGACTAAGAAGGATTTTGCATGCATAGATGAACCAGCGATATATGGCTTTAGACGATGGAAAGAATAATGACTTCTATTATTGTCAGCGATGCTGTCGGACCGAATAGCTTGGAGACCTCGTAGCCAGCGGAGTCAGCCTAACTAGTAATTGTTCGATAAAAAAGAAATCCGCCTGTAATTTTGTCCGAAAGTGATTCTTAACGGAAAGATCTCATCACAGTAGCCAATGAAATCAGAAGTAGCAAATGCTATAAAAATAAAGAA